TTATGATATAAAAGATTTAATTTTCAACTCATTTAAAAGAAAGCTATCAAATTGGGTAAAAGAAAATTTTGTATAACCATCCTTAAACACATATGAACATGTATGTTTCTATAGTACTAAGTACGAATTGTAAAAAAATAGCTTAAAGCTAAATAAATATACTACTACTACTACATAATTCCATAAATATATGTATGTACTAGCATACGCGTGTACGTATTTATTTCCTAGTAGCGATATTCACATAAGTTTTCAGGCGAATTTAAAATTAAAAACATTTTTAAGATAGAGATAATATTACCTGCAATTCTTCAGTTGTTATTTGGATACTTGTACTTGGAGCAGCGTTTGGGGGGGCGTTTTGCGATAAGGGCTGAACCACAGCAGCATTGTTACCAGAGTTTATCTGCAGTTGCGGCTTAGTATTTTCTTGTTCAAATGGATTATAATCTTCCAGAGAATTTTGGATATTGGATGTTACTCTTGTCGCTTGTTGAATAGCAGGATCAGCAAAAGGATTTTCACCAAAAGGGTCGTCGAAACCAGACATTTTACCAACCTTACCAGGTTTCGTTTACTTATTTTCCATTGATGTCACCGAAGTATTTTCATTAATCATCAGTGTATCAGGTGGAATGTGTGAGAACTGGGTACATACTACAGGGACATTCGCAATAAACTAAACATCCGTTATACCCTGTACAGCTAGGAAAACATCGATTTTTTTCTCAACATCGATGTTTTTGCAAATTGCAATTTTGAAACGACGCGTTTCTGGCCACCTAGTAACAATCTGGAGGGGGAGGCCTAAAATTATTAACCACTAAACAATACATATTTATATTTATATCATAAACAAAAAACTTTTGTTAAATTTCGTTGTTTTCTATGAGCAATTACCACGTCAAAAATACTCTAAATCACCAGTTTTCACTTTTAAAACACTATTAAAACGTCTCCGGTTATTATTTTATGCAAACAAAATCATTTATTCACTTTTATTTTATATATTTCGTTAATAAAACAGAGTAAACACACTTTGTGCCTGCCAAAATTATTATAACCTCAAATCGCTGGTATTGCCACTTAAAGGTCAGGCGCACTAACCGACGCGACACTGCAGCGGCACTACGCCACACGGCGCGACACTTTTTGATATATCGCACTGAAACTGCAGCGGCGCGACACTTCGCTGCAAATTTTTTAATTTATTTGTGTCAAAACTTTCAAACAAGATGGATGCCAGTGACGCTGATGACATTACGTTAATGCCTTTTATTTTTATTTTCCTTGGCGAATTCTTCTCAAATATTATGTTTCTTTACATACAATTTTCTTCTTTAATGAAATGCATGTGAATATTGACTCAAAATTGGAAATCCAATTACTTCAAGTTAAAAATATAGTACGAAATGTTATGTCGTTCCGCTAGCTATACCGCACTAGGCGGCACTGGAACTGCGCGACACCACGCGGCGCGACATTTTTGCCTAGTTGGTCAAAATTGCCGCGCAGCGTCGCGTCGCGTATCTCCGCTGCAGCGTAGTGCGGTATGCTCCATAAGAATACATGCTAAGAATATTTTGCCGCGCTGTGTAGTGTCGTGTCGCGTTGCCTAGTGCGGTCGTACCTTTATTTCACATTTCATTTGCGCTATTACACTCAGTTTACACTATACACTTCTTCTTTTATTACTTACACCTAATTAAAATATTCTAACCAAAATATATAGGAAATTTCACTATACCATGGCAGCGCTACTTTTATGGGCGGTAGCCCCAGTAATGTCACACAGAAAGGATAATTCTACGTAGTGAGGGTTATAATCCCTAAGCGCGGCCGAAGGCCGCCTACGCAGAAAGGTATTCTCTGCAAAAGGTGTTCAGCCCCCCTTCTTCGGACGCAAGTTTAACTTTGTTTTTTCCTTGCAAAAAAACTAAAATTCCCCTATTTTCAAACAGCTCCCCAGAGGTCTGTGGGAGGGGAAGGGGGGGAGGGGTGACTTTTCATAAAGCGGCGTCAATCCTCTTTCGTTTAGGGGGGATTTGTGGGGCCCACACTACCTCCCCCTCCGCCCCCACTCCTAAATCGTTGTACAAATAGCTAAATATTTCCCTTAATTTTTATGGAAAAAGCGCCGCAGCCGAAAACTTTTAATAAAAAAACGCGCGATTTTTTATTAAAAATTTTTTTTTATTTACATATATATTAAACGAAAGAAGATACCGAAAAGCATTGAACACTGCACACACCTTGTAAGGAAAAGTGAATTATTACGAAATACTAATACAGTGGCAGCACTATAGTTATTTTGGAATCTCGCGTTTCAGTTCGCAAAGCTTGTCAACTTCTTTTTAATAACAAAATAATCTATCTTTGGTTGAATATTTTAATAGTGTTTAAAAAG